CTTTGGGGCACCCCTGCTACACCAGGAGGCATGGCCACCTCGTTTTGTCTGGTGTGGGCCCTTCGGGTTGGTCAGCCGTTGGAACGGTTCCTGCAGCCCCTCCTCCCTCCCTGACAGGGCTGTCTGCAGCAGGGCCTTCTCTCTCAATCTGCCGTCTTAGGGAAAGTCTCCGGCCCTAGTTGGAGGTGGAGTGGGGCTGTGGCGGGTGTTTGGGCCGCCATGGCAGTGGGCCCCGGCCCGCCTGAGCGCGTCCTCTCTCCGGAGGGTCCCAGGCAGTGGAGTCCATCCAGGCCGAGGACGAGAGCGCCAAGCTGTGCAAGCGGCGCATCGAGCACCTGAAGGAGCACAGCAGTGACCAGCCGGCGGCGGCCAGCGTGTGGAAGCGGAAGCGCATGGACCGCATGATGGTGGAGCATCTGCTGCGCTGCGGCTACTACAACACCGCCGTGAAGCTGGCGCGGCAGAGCGGCATCGAGGTGGGCGCCAGGGTCCCTGGGTATTCCTGGTGACTGTGGTCAGAGCTTGGCAGTCTGGGGCCACGTTGATGCCTGGTGGATTGTGTGGTATCAGCCTCTTGTGGTCTCCATGTACACCCCATCCTCATTCTGGGAGACAAAGAGCGCGCACACGCGTGCAGTGGGTGTAGGTGTGTCTGCAAACCTGTGCCCCAGGGGAACTGGGCCAGTGTCCACCCGGGTGGCCTTGTCAGCTGTGCCAGCCTGCTGGGGGCTTCCCGTGGCTTGGGTACGCAGACGTCGGTTCTGTCTGAGTGTCCTCATGCTCTCTGCACCCCGGACTCAGAGCCGTGCCTTTGTCGTGCTTCGGCCCCCACTCCTGGCCATCCGTCTCCTCTGGGTCGTGATCTGTCTGCCCGTACCCCCGCTCCCCTAAGGGTAATGGGCTCTGTGGGGCCCGGGCGGCCCTACAAGGTGGACAGGAGTGACTGTGTGCACTTGGGGCCCAGGTCCACGTTGATTCCTTGGTTCAGCTGTCCAGGCAGGGTCCAGGGGTGGGGTAGGGGTTCTTCCCACCCTGCCTGACCCCAGAAGGCATGGTGCCTGGGTCCCAGGTGGACTGCTGGTGGAGTGACTGGTGGGCATCATCCCTTCTGTCACCTGGAGGGACAATGGTGTCTTGGTTGGCTTGTGCCCTGGTGCCCTAGAGCAGTGGTTCTCAACCTTCCTAATGCCACAACCCTTCAATACAGTTCCTCATGTTGCCATGACCGCCCCCCCAACCATAAAATGATTTTCGTTGCTACTTCATAACTATAATTTTGCTACTATTGTGAATTGGGTGGTTCCTGTGAAAGGGTCATTGGACACCACCCCAAAGGGGTCGTGACTCACAGGTTGAGAACTGCCCTAGAGGAAGCCTGAGCTCCAGCCACATGCTTGAGCAATGGAACCGTCAGTGTGCAGCCTTTCGAAGCCACTGCGGTCGTCCCTGCTTATGTATACCTGCTGGACTGCCCTGTCCCCTTCTGCTTGCAAGTCCAGGCTGGTGTGTGCCGGCCACAGTGCATCTCCACTGGGCTCACGATGGGCCAAGCTGCAGGGGCCACCAGGCTCCTCGACCCGTCGTTTGAGCCAGCAGGCAGGTCCCACTGCCCAAGCTAGGCACCCAGCGTGGGGTCAACGTCACCCCTGATTTAGCATGGGCCTGCATGTGCAGGCCCCTCACCCCACCCCGCCCCTTCCTGGGCAGCGGTGGCCGATAGAACTTGGCAGGGAGGGCAGGGCTGGGCACCTGGGGTGGACGGGCAGAGTTAGACCACACACACCCATGGGAAGAACTGCAGAAGGTGGGTCAGCGAGCAGGGCATGGCTCCACCCAAAACCACTTCCTGTCTCCAAGGACCTGGTGAATATCGAGATGTTCCTGACTGCCAAAGAAGTGGAGGAGTCCCTGGAGCGGCGGGAGACCGCCACCTGCCTGGCCTGGTGCCACGACAACAAGTCCCGGCTGCGGAAGATGAAGGTGTGTGCCGTGGGGCGGGGCTGCTGCTGAGGTGCTGTGGCTGTGGGCTTGGTGGTGGTGCTCAGCCTTTGGGTGGGGGCCCCTTCTGCACCACTGTGTGGGTGACTGCCAAGCCCTGCAAGAGGAAGGCGGGTGCACGCAGCATGGGGGATGCACGCACGTGGGGGACACGGCCCCACCTGCCTGAGCCTCAGTTATTCACTGGACGGCACCTAGGGGTCGGCACAGTCCCAACTGAGGTGCTGTCACTAAGCACGCTCGCCCGGAGGCTGCGCCGAGGACGTCCCACTGCCGTGCACCAGCCGCCCCCTGGGGAAAGCTGTATGTCTGCCTTCTCAACCGAGCGCTCCCTTAACCCCTGCCGTGTGAGCTTGTTGTGGCGTGTGGTCCCCGCCCGCGTGACACTCTCTGCCACTCAGGGCCGCCAAAGCGAGCACGAGGCGAAGACGGCACGAAAGAGTAGAGCGGGCTGTGGCTCCCCCAGAGAGAGTGAGGACCTGGGTGTGGAGGCCCTGAGAGCACGGCCCGAGTTGGTATGTGACCCACGGCCCCGCCCCCACTGCCCTGCCACTTCCAGGGAGCCTGGGGGGGCAGCAGCCACCGCCGATGGCAATCGCACCAGGGCATTGGTGCTCATCCTCACGTGTACACGCCCATCGCTGCAGACCTGCGTGCACACGCACTCACCCTCCCACACAAACACGCTCACTGTCATCGAGCCCTTGCTGACGGGGCCACACCACAGGACAGGGCAGGACTGCCGAGTTTCCTAGGCTGGAGCTAACCATTTGTGGGAGTAGAGAGCCCTGCGTTTGTCCCAAAAAGCAACAGGTGGTTTCTAAGGACCTTGCAGATTGCAGCCCAGCGTTGACCCACCGCCCCCAGCACGCATGCCTCAGACAAGCTAGGGGACTCAGAGTGTGGGGGGAAATTCACTCTCCGTGCCATTTTCCCTTGAACTCTGAAGCCCCCTTCTACTTTCTCACTGGCTCACAGTGTTTCTGCATGCTGCATACTCTCCCACCTCCCACACACACACTCACCGCATCTGCCCAGCCACACTCAGACCCATTTCACACTGACATTTCACACTCACCAGTGCACTCATGCACACACACATGCTGCATCGGGCCAACCCCGGGGGAAGACCATGCCAGGTGCTGCAGGGAGCCCAGCTCAGAGCACAAGTGAGAACCTCGGTGGGAGACATTGGCTGAGAGTCCTCACACACGAATTCAGAGCTGGTTCAGAGTCCTGGGCTGCCATCGAGCCCCGCAAAGTGCACAGGGCCCCGAGGGGTATCCATGGGCAGGACAACAGCAGGGTCTGCCTGTGCCCCCACCCCCATGCCCCTGCCGGAGAGCCAACTGCCAAAGCTGAGAATGTCTGAACTGTAAAAACCTGTCAGCCTTCTGAGCCGTACCGAGTGTCACCCAGAATCCTGGCCCTGCAGTGTCCCCACAGCAGCGCCTTCCTGCTGGTCAGCAGTGTCTCCTGGTGCCTGGTGAATGGAAGCAGTGGCCATTGAGTGGGGTCAGCTGTGTTGCGCCCTGGGCTGCAAGCAGGGCCAGGGTGTGGGGTGTGGAGGAAGATAGCCTTTGAGGGCAACGTAGGCTGCCACGGTGCAGCCTAGACATTGGTCGCACGCAGACACGTGGTTCTGCTTTCAGCAAGCCACTGCCTGCCCTCTGGGAGGACCCGGAGGGCTTCTGGCCAGAGCTCTGCCGTGACTGGCACCTTGACCCTCTGCAGCCTCATCCTGGCAAGAGGGTGCTTCGCTCACCCGCCTTACATCTCACCTGTGCTCAGAGCTGCCGCCAAGGAGCAACGGGCAGCCGACAAGAGTGGGCTAGAGGCCTGTTGGGAGTGGGTGGGTGGGTAGCAGCTTCCTGAGTGCGGGACCAGGGGTGGAGGCCACGTCCTGAGGGTCGGGCTGGGGTTATTGCCCAGAAGAACAGCAGGCACCTCGTGGAGGCCCAGGGCGTGGTGGCTAGAGTAGTGTTTGATGGGATTGGACGTGAGGGGGTCGGGTGGGTATGTAGGTGAGCATTGCAGATGTGTGGGTGAGTTCAAGTCGGTTTTGGTGGGCTACGGAGACAAAGCTGGGTAGACTGTGTGGTTGCCAATTAGAACTTTGACTCACCCCATCGTGGGCTCTGGTTCTGGCCGGGGGCACCAGGAACCACAGGATTTGACTCTGTTGGCGCCGTCTGCCCTGTTTGTGGCTGGGGACGCTGAGTCAGTGTTTCCTGAAGCCGCCGATTGACCCTTCTGCGAAAGAAGCCAGCCTCCCGCCCCCCGCTAGAGTTGGTTTTGCACATTTGCCCGTGTCCCCCCCCCACCCAGGCCGTTAGGGTCTTGCACTGGCTGGCGGGCCTGCATGAAAGCAGCCCGTGTCCCCCCGCCCAGGTCGTTAGGGTCTGGCACTGGCTGGCGGGCCTGCATGAAGCAGCACTGCTGCAGCCTTCATGGGCTCCTCTCCACCGCAGCTCTTGCTGGGAACCAGCGTGGGCCCACGGCCCTGCGCCACAGCCCCGCCTCCGTCCACTTGGCACCACCTGTGGGTGCAGGCCCACCTGCAGACCCTGCGAGGCTTTCTCAGGGCGTCCAGCATCCGTCCAAACCTGCCAGGTCCTCAGGTGGGCCCAGCTGGCCCTTCTCCCCACGCTGCCCCAGCTCCTCCCTCACCTCGTGTCCTGTCTGCTGCCGGCGCCCCCATGGAGAGCCGGGTGGATGAACACCTGGGAGAGGTGCCCGCCATCTTGGGGCCCAGGCTGCTGGTGAAGGGTTCGGAAGAGGGTGCCTGCATAACACAGCTAGCACACAGGTGCTGTGTGCCTCGTGTAATCCTGTAATGGCCACGCAGAGCCCACGGACCCGTCCTTGTAGCAGGTGTGACCACCTTGTCCCACCAGGGCTTTGCATGGCAGTGGTGGTGTCAGCCTGTGATCCCGGGACGGCTACTGACAGACACCTCCTGCCCCACTGGGCACCATGTTGCCTCCAGGCTGGCTGCTGCTCACCTCCGGGTGGGTGCCTCTCCACTTGGGTGTTCTGGTGGGGGTAGCACCTAGTGCTCCATCGGCCAGCTCTCCCCCCCAGGCCTTCATCATAACCATGATGTCCACGATGATTGGCCCTCTAGGCAGGAGGCCTCAGCAGGGGCCAAGCTCATGGACCATGGAGCTGGTGCCACTGGACGGTGTTGGCTGCAGTGGGCCTGACCCAGGCATCCGGCTCTGTTGCTGGAGTGCTGGGGGGTGGGGGGAGGGCGTGCATGAGACTGGCCAGCTCAGAGGCACGTGTGCGAGTCAGGGCCATGACCGTGGTTGGCTTGCTGCCTCCCAGGAAGCAGCTACAAGAGGCTCCTCTGGTCTCTCCTCAGAGCTGCCTGGAGTTCAGCCTGCGGATCCAGGAATTCATTGAGCTCATCCGGCAGAACAAGAGGCTGGACGCTGTGAGGTAGGTCATGGGGTCACTGATGTGTGTTGGGGACCGCCGGCCCCCTTACACCTCCTGGGCCTGCCAACTCGCCTGGGTGTGGGGCTCCCTGTTGCCCTGGTGGCCTAGAGGGGGGGGAGGATCAGAGGCTCTCTGAGGGTGGTGGGCACAATGATGCCCGGCACAGCACTGTCCTGGCAGGTACCCAAAGCCGCCCATGGCCCCCAGGTGGACACTGGCCACGGTGGGCCTCTAAGAGGCGAGGTGGTGAGACTGATGGCCCTGATGGCCCAATGCCCAGTGCGGCATCTTTTCCTTTCTTGTCACCCATGGTGTCCCTCTGTGCCCTCGGGGTGGGTGCTCTCTAGGAATGAAGGGTCTGATCCCAGCATTGGGGAACCCCTTCCCAAGCTGGGTCACTGGACAGAGGCCCCTGTGAGCTGGGGCAGGACCAAAGCCCGCCTGCCCCATGCCGTGCTGTGCCCCATGCTGTGTATGCCCCGACTTCTCAGGGTGGGGCTGCCCGCGGGCCCCTCGTGTCCGGGACCACGACGCATGACCAGACCTGTCTGTCCTGCCGAGGCGTTTATTATCAGAGGATGCTGGGTGCACTTGCTGCCCCCTGTGTGAGAGTAGAGGCCCCACTCGGCCACTTAGCTGTCAGAAGTGGGCACGCAGGCATGTAATTGTGTACCACTTGTTCCCTAGACACGCGAGAAAGCACTTCAGCCAGGCGGAGGGCAGCCAGCTGGACGAGGTCCGCCAGGTCATGGGCATGCTGGCCTTCCCATCAGACACGCACATCTCCCCGTACAAGGTAACGCCACGGGTCCCTCTGGGTGCCCGTGCTCAGGAGTGTTCCAGAGATCTCAAGGTCCCCCAGCTCTTGCCACTCTGCGCCTGTCTTGTCTTGGTAACAAGGCGGCCCGAGGCCACGTGACAACAAGGCCCCTGCTTTTGTGCCCACTTAGAACCCCGTCTCTGTTCCCTGGGGCTGGGGCCACTGTCGTTAGGACTGACCGTCGGGGGGAGCTTATGACCCCGGAAGGGTCCTGAGCCAGGCTGCTCTGAGGGGACAGCGAAGCAGGGGGCCTGATGGGAGCCGTGCCCAAACTGACAGAGAAGCCAGCACTGCCCCCTGCACCTGTAATGGGGCCGCTGCTCTGGTGCCCCTGGTTACTGGCGGGCTCGTGGTTGGTGGTTCCCTCCCAGCTGTTACTGGCCCCTGCACTGACGGTAAGGAGCCCTGAGTGTGCCTCCCTCCTTGACTGGACATGGCACCCCACTAGGAAGCTCAGGAGAGGCACAGCCCTGCCTCCTGGAGCCTCGAGGATGAGGGTGGGGGCCGAGACAGCCCAGGGAGCAGCCCTCCTACCCAGGCACCCCCAACGGCACTCGGTCAGGAGCCCGCAGCCTGGGCGAGAAAACGGTGAGCCCAGGACAATGTGTCTCGGGGCAGGCAGGGAGAGCTTCTCAAACCTCTCGTCTCTTCAGAGGGGTTTGAGGCCATAGCAGTTGCTAGCAGTGAGCGGGATGCTTGGGGAAACGGAGCCAGGACCGGCCTGCTGTCGGAATTCAGCGGGTGCTTGAGTCCAAGTGGATGAGAAGTTGGCTAGACTTGAGCGAGTCGCGGAGTGGCTGGTTACTCCCTTTGTCCCCCGTCTCCCTCAGGGTGCCTTTCCAGACCTGGTTGATGTTAAATGTCCCAGTTCCATTCTCCCCTCCCCTAAACCCACAGTAGATTTAGGGACAGACGGTGACCAGAAAAGGCCCTGGTGCTTGGTGAAGTGGAGGAGTGAGGGAGAGGACGGCCCTCAAGCAGATGGAGGGACACCGTGGCTAGAACAGTGGCTCGGGCACAGGGTCCATCGTGAGGGTGGCACACCTGGTCAGTGTCTCCTTTTGTTGGGCATGGGGTCACTATGGGTCAGAGCCGACTCGATGGCCAGATGTAAATGTCACTGCTGTGATTCTTGTCATCTGAGGAGGGCCTGTGGTCGCTGTGTAGCAGTCGTTAGCCTGGGGGAGGGAGCAGCTCTCCGGGGCCGTTGGTCCAGCCCTCTGGTTCCAGGGCCGCCCCCCACCACTGGGAGCTCGTGCTGCAGGGTAGCGGTGCTGGCTCCAGGTCTGGAGGCTGGCCCTGCAGGAACGGGCTCACCGAGAGGGGGGGCCAGCCGGCAGTGGGGAGGAGTTGGCCTTGGCTTGTCTTCACTGCCTTTCATTCCCAGGAATTCATCCCCAACACACACACACACACACACACACACACAGACACACACACACCCCTTGTTTAGGGTGCCCCTTGGGCTCGCAGCCTAGACGCAGAGGCCACCCAAGCTGCTGGTCTCTTCCAGGATCTGCTGGACCCGGCCCGGTGGCGGATGCTGATCCAGCAGTTCCGGTACGACAACTACCGGCTGCATCAGCTGGGCAACAACTCGGTCTTCACACTCACGCTGCAGGCTGGTCTCTCGGCCATCAAGACCCCGTATCCGCCCACTTGCCCCACTCGGAGCAGGTCTCCGATCCCAGCGGCCCGGTGGGGGCGTGTGGGGGGGCGACAATATCCTGCCTCATGAGGTTGGTGCTTTTGCAGGGCTCACACGGTATGCTGTCTCTGCTTTTCTCTGAGCATGTCCTCCCAGGCTGCCCACAGCCAGCACTAGTGGACTGGCAGCTGTGGACCAGCCCCCAGAATGCCTGCCCCACCTGGGCTCTGAGTCTCCTCAGCATCTGGCGGGTCTGAGCCTTGACGTTCAGACATTCATTATTTTCAAACGAACACGTCCTGTGGTGGTCACTTCTCCAACAGACAACAGCTTCCATTCAAGCTACAGCTTGAGCACACGCTTGACCCGTCACCTCATCACCTGGCCCCCTGGGCCTGCTGTGTGCCCCTTCCGTGGGCATTGTGATAGCCTCTGTCATGATCCATCTGCCCACCCTCATCTGGGCACCGTTTGGGGCTGGTGACCTGAGAGCTGACAGCACCTGGGCCTAGAGACGCCCTCCCTGTGCACCGCGCTCAGGCGGGCCGTGTGCTGTCGCCTGTGCAGTGAGTGCCTCCGTTAGTGTGGCCTGTGGGGGCCAGCGTGTTGGGCAGCAGGCAGCTTTCTGGGAAGTCCAGGAGTGGAGGCCAGCACTTCCCAGGACTGATTGTCGTGGCCCCCGAGGGGGTGGGGTGGGGGGCTTGCTCCTCTCTTCCTGCTCTCCCTTCCCACCTAGAGGCTCTCGGGCTGGTGGTTTTCCTGAGGGGCCTGAAAGCACCCACGGTCTGACCCAGAGGCTCCCAGGCACCCATCTTTGCTGCGAAGAGTGAGGGATCCTCCAAGGGGGGCTTCCTGGCTGCCGTGAGCCTCCTTGACTGACCGTGTGCAGACAGTGCTACAAGGAGGACGGCAGCTCCCGGAGCCCCGACTGCCCTGTGTGCAGCCGCTCCCTCAACAAGCTGGCCCAGCCCCTGCCCATGGCCCACTGCGCCAACTCCCGCCTGGTCTGCAAGATCTCGGGCGACGTGATGAACGAGAACAACCCGCCCATGATGCTGCCCAACGGATACGTCTACGGCTACAACGTGAGGGCCGGGCAAGGGCGCGGGCAGGAGGGCCGGGCCGCCCACTGCCACCCATGGGTGCGGAGCCTCAGGCCGTGCCCGGCAGAGGAGAGGGGGGGAGTAGGGGAGGGGTGCTGGTGGCTGGGTCCCGGCCGCGTGCTGCTCTTAACCCCTGCTCTCCTCTGCAGTCTCTGCTGTCTATCCGACAGGACGACAAAGTTGTTTGCCCGCGAACCAAAGAAGTCTTCCACTTCTCACAGGCCGAGAAGGTGTACATCATGTAGACCGCGCTGGACTGGCCAGCGGCAGCGAGCCTCCAAGGAGAGAGGAGACATTTCACACGTTTGTACTTGAAAACGTTTCGATTGGTCGGATTTTCTAACACGCTGACCATGGATGCTTCTGGAAGTACTTTGACCTCTCCAGGGCAGCCTTTCTACGGACAGACCCCTGTTTCCCAGTGGGGCAGCCATCCCCCCAACCCCGACATCTCTCCACTTCCCTCCCTCTTTGCTCAGAACGAACAGAACCGGGGAGCGGGCTGGTTCTTGATGACCCACGGCTGCCTGGCCCTGGGCCTGACCACAGGCGTGCCGGGGCTTGGGCTGCCCAACAGGGGACTCCACGGCTCCCTCTTGGAGCTGCTGCCGGGGCCTTACTTCCTGCTCTGAGAATGTATCCATGTGGAGAGCCACTGGACCGAGGTCTGCAGGGGCCTGCCCGCCCGGCGCCCTCCGTGAAGAGCCAGCGGCCCCACGCAGACCATTGCTGTAGAGGCCTGTATGTAGCGCTGATGTGTGCATGTTGGTGTCCATTAGCTAATAAACTGTACATGTAAAACGTTAATAAAGGGCTTTCTATTTCTTCTTTCTGTGTGAGCACGACACTGCTCTTGCCCTGTGCTCTCTCCTGCCTCTGTCCAGCCCTTTCTCCCGGACGTCGTCCTGCTCCCTGTGTCTCGGGCCCTTTAGGGTCTTGGCAACCCAAGCCTGCCTCCTGCTGAGTGGGCGCAAGGCTGGTGACTCACAGGGCCCCGCTGGGGCCTCCTTGGGCTCCAGGCCCGAGTTGTCTGAGCTGCCGTCCTGTCCCTGTCCCCCCTCATCCCTCCACCCTGGAGCCCCGCTCTGCCCTGGAGCACCCCTTGCACCGGCCCAGCAGCTTCCTGCCCACATCCCTCTCGACCAGCCTCCCTTCCCAGTGCTGGCGCACAGCGATCACCCACCCCCAGGCTGCCGGAAGGAAGAGCCCTTGGCACCGGGCAGAATGCTCCTTCTTGCAGACCCCATAGCCGATGCAGGGGCTCCGAGCGGGTGGGCGGGGTGTCCTCCGCCTGCTATCCCAAACCTGGTCCTCTGGCTTCAGGTTCGGGGCCCCTGTCTCAGTTGACCTTCGGGACAGTCTTGAGGGTCCAGAATTGGGTCATAGCCAACAGGGAACATGCCTAGGATTCCTGAGCACTGGTCTGGGGGCGGCTTACTGTGGCAGCTACCAGCCTGGACCCACAGGACGCCCTGTGGCCCGGCCTGCGCCCTCTGCTCTCCCTGGTCTGTGCTGGATGTCCCAGCCAGGACCTGCTTGCTGCCTGTCCTCTCCTCTCCAGGGCTCCTCACGGGCTCAGTGCTGTTGCCAGCCTCCCCACCCCCATGGAGACCCTTACCAGGAGAGAATATCCATCCGACTGCTCAGACCTGCCCTGGCACAGGTGCCTCAAAGGCCAGACCCCCAGAGACCCCGCTTCCAACCTCCTGCCCCAGCCTCTTCCATGTCACAGTGCATGTTTCTCAGGAGCCAGCTCCATCCCATGTCCGTCGTCCCTGGACAAGCTGTCCCTCTACTGGAAATGACCTCTCCTCCACCCACCCTGGCCTGATTCCTGGGGTCCAAGGTCAGAGACCTCTGTGACCCACCTGCAGAACCCTCCCCTCCACTCAACCAAGCTGCCACACACTTGGAAACAGCCCACCCGACTCAGGTCCCTACAGCCAGTTTAGTAGGCTTCTTTCATTGTTATTCTCTGGACTATGAAACAATGGAAAAACAAGCTCTGGTTGTCAGCTGCCATTACCAGGCAACGTCACACCTGTTTTCTTGAAGAACAGGATCACACCTCAGCGACTCAACGTGCTAAGGCATCCCAGTGGACCAGAAGCCTTCAGGCCAGGACTCAATAGATGCCATTGTTCCAAAGCTGGCCCGGGTGGCAGGTGGTGGAGCTCCCAGCTTGCTGGGCTTGTCAGCCCAGGTCAGGGCTGGGCCTCTGAGCTGAGGCAGCCCACGTGGCCCTGGGCCCAGATGCTCTACCCCCACCACCTGCCTCCTGGGTGGGCTTTGCCTCTCCCACTTCTCCCCTACATACCTCCCTGCTTGGAGAATCATACAGCACACGTTTGGCTCCTGGTGTCATTTGCAGCTCTGCGCACACGTGGCCATCGTCGTTAGCTCTGCCTGTAAGTGTTGCTGACATCAGCTTCCCTGCATGCGTGTAGGTTTGGGGGCTTGTTCCACCTGCTCAAGCACCCTGGCCAGTGAAAGGGTTAGAAGTGAGGTACAGGGAGAGCTGGTGACAAAATAAATGCTTTCTTCACTGCCACACCCACAGTGCTCAGGGCCTTGACCACCCTAGCCCCCTGTGAATCCATCCATTCTATAGCAGCCTCAGAGACCCACAGGGGCAGTTCCGCCCTGTCCTACAGGCTCCCTGTGAGTCCATACAGGCTCGACGGCAGTGGGTGTCTAAGGGGCCCTGGCGGCTTAGTGGGTGCAGGTTGGGCTGCTGACGGCAGCACCTGCAGTTCAAAGTCACCAGCCGCTCTGAGGGAGGAAGGGGGGGTTTCCACTCATCAAGAGTTCGAGCCCCAGAGACTCACAGGGGCACTTCCACTCCGTCCTGTAGGACCGCTGTAACTCGACAGCAGCGAGTGTGGTTTGGGTTGGGATCCACTGCCAAGTCAAAGTTTAAAATCATTTTCACTGCCCCAGAAAGTCACTGTTAGGTTCCTATGGTTATTGTGAGGTGCTATGGAGTCCGCCGCTGAGTCAGCCCTACCCATAGCAACCCTGGGCACAACGGAACAAAATACCGCCTGGTCCTGTGCTGCCGTCCTCAGCGGTTCCTCGGCCTGAGCCCACGGATGCAGCCGCCGTGTCCGCCCGTCTCGTCCAGGGCCTTCCTCTTGTTCACTGCCCCTCCACTTTACCAAGCCTGATGTCCTTCTCCCCAAGGACTGCCCTCTCCTGACTACATGCCCAAATGTCATCATGTGGACGGCTTACAGCAAGAGTCGGACCTGTGTACTCAGAGGTCCCTTCTTCCAGGACCGTACTCTGTCCAGAACCTTAAGGAGAGAATCCTTCCTTGTCTTTTCCAGCCTCTGGCAGCCCTAGGCATCCCTTGGCTTGTGGCAACATCATCCCCGTCTCCGCTTCTATCTTCCCTCTGCTGTATCTGTTTTCTTCCTGGAAGACCACCGCCCCCGACTTCAGTATCACCTCATCCTGACAAATCATACCTACTATGGCCTTATTTCCAAATGTTGCAAACCAAGAATCATTTGCCCAACAAGCGCCTCCTTCGTTTATAACAGTGAAATGAGGTCATTTGCAGATACATAGAAAGATTGAAAGTAATTTGCAAAAATCAGAGCACCTTACAAGCAAAGGGAAGAATCCTTCAGACAGAGCACCAACAGCAGTGGACACAACATGAGACTATCGTCCACCTGTGATCACAGGACCCAGAAGTCAGCCCCGTGGAACTGTCCGACACGAGGCCCATACCCAAAGTAAAGCAAACTTGCGGTGTTGAAATGGACAACCAGAGATGTGCTCCGTAATGACGACAATTACAAAGTAAAAAGCAGGGAAGGCAGGTGCCAAGGTGGCCTGCATACAGTATACGGGAGGTTGGCGAAGAATGACGGAGACCAGACACAGGAGGTGTGGGAGAGTTAAAGACAACGGGGTAGTTACTGTTACATCCTCAGCAGTGACACTGAGTATACTCGAGTATAAGCCCACCCAAAGAGCAGCCAAGGCACCTAATTTTACCAGCAAAACTACATTAAAAAAACTCGGCTTCTACACGAGTTTATATGGTAGGTTGTGGAACGATACATTGGGAAGGGTGGCAGGATAGCTAGATGGGTGCATGGATGGATGGATAGGTAAGGTAGGCAGGCAGGCAGGCAGATATGTAGATTTGGCAGAGGTTTCTCCTAGCACTGATATTTACCTCTGCTCAATGGTGGGGTTAAAATAATTTAACAATTGGTTTGCTGCCCTAATGACCATTTTTAAGTATGAAAAATGACATACTGAGATGGTGGTGGTGTGGATTAGTTAGGCTTTGGGCTGCTAATTACAAAAAAAGATACACCAAAAGGTAGTTAATTATTTCATAGTTAATAAAGTAGGAACACTGAAAGGTGTACACAAAACTAGATTGTTATAAGAAAGTTTTAAAAGATTACTGAAAAATGTGAAATAATACCTAACCAAACACTAATGAAATTGTTATTTAGTGTGTTAGGCTGGGTATACCAGAGAAACAAATTCATTGACACTCGTGTGTAAGCGAGAGTTTTATATCAAAGAGCAATTCTATTGGGAAACATCCCAGATGAGAAAACATCTCAGATCCAGTCCCTAAGTCCCATATTATCCCATACGTCCAGTACTAGTCCATACATTCCTCTTCAGACTCACGTAGCCACGCACAGTGATGCTGAACACAGGAAGATCACCGGCCAGTGGGTGGGAAGTCTTGTGGATCCAGGGGCAGAGGAAGCATCTCAGTGCTGGCAGGGGTCTCCCTGTGGCTCCTCAACAGAAAGGTAAAGCAGATAGAGTTTCCTGCCTCCAGGGAGAAAGAGGAAATTCCCAGAATCCTCATGAGGAGGCCACGCCCACAAGGAGGCATCATCAGGCTGTGACCTGGTTGATGGATAGTCTCTACCCCTGTACCCCTTTATCAAGTTGACATGAAACTATGTAACTACCACAGACCACTATTTGTCCGTTTGACACCTTTACACAACTCTTTAGCCATATGTAGTTTGTAAAACAAGGACAATAATAAAATCATTTTGCCTAACAGGATAAAACTAAAATGCATACCACGCAAAATGTGCCAGCCTCATTTAGACATAATGCTCTGTGGGAGTCTGCACGTCCCTCAGCCCATGGCCTGCACCGTCTGGTGTCTTTAAGCTTCCCATTCCCGGATGTTCCCTGGCCTATTGTCCTGCCTGAGTTTGGCCTTTGTGATGATTGGTGCTTGGTGACAGGCATCCGCCATGCTCATTGGACACCTCCACCAGGCATCCAAGTGCACCTCATTTGCACGCGGACCTGTTTGAGGACTGATGCCTGCCATTTCTTCCATATTTGGTAGCTGCGTGATTATTGGATACTACCTGTTACACTTTATTAGCATATGATGTAATGTTACCCGCCCACCATTGGGTATTTAGGCCTCTGCCTTCTGCTCAATAAACGAGGCTTGATCAGACTCTTGTCTCGCCTCCATTTCTTGCGTCTCTTGCCCCTCTTCATTCCCAGTCCCTTTTTCAGGTATCCACGTTGTTTGATGACCCGCAGACGGGTCAATGTTCTATAAGCGACAAAGCAAAAAATATTCTATGCTTAACAATTTTGATTTTGTGAACGCCAACACCATAATCCTATAAACATATTCCCCTACCTATGAAAAATTGTAAGCCAGCCACTTTGTGCCTTTATCCTCCCCATTTTGGGTATCAAATTTCTATACTGCCCACTTATATCAACCCAGTGCTCTAAGGAGAGAAGCCTGTTCTTTGCTGTGAAGAAGCTTCATCCCAGTTGGAACCTGGTGAGTCTGTATCCAT